TTGACGTTATAAATCCAATGTATATTGTCAATTTGAAGGATAGAGACTATTTTTAGAAAGATGTGAACTTTAAATGTATGATGCTTGCAAATGTTACTGCAATTATAATTAGATTTTGATCGAACTGCATTAATTCTGTGATATTTCACGCGGACGATAAATTTACTAAAATCATAACTTATTTAAAATGACGTACACGTTTGACATATCTTTTTAAACTATGTATGCAAGAGGTACTCTCTAATATTAGTATGAATATAATGCTGTAAATATACATAAATCAATATAATTCGAAACTAAACGAAATCAGACTATACAAACATTAATAACAGTAAAGTAATCGTACAAATAAAATAAAATCTTTCACAACTACATTTACACAAAATCTTTAAATAAACTACATCTATATGCATCTCCATTGCATATACATTTATCTTTTCCAATTTAAATGCAACAACGTAATTGTTTGCTTTGAGAATAATTCTATTTAGAAATCATTACGAATTCCACACCTATCCACATTTTTATTTGATAACCAAAAATCATGCTTTGAATAAAAAAATATTTGTTTGTATCTTTGCTAATATAAACAAATGAAACGCACTTTGATCGACGCAAGAGAAACATATTACGTTCGTGCAAAGAATGTCGAAATTGCAGTAATAAAAGAGAAATCGAAATGGAGGCGGACATTGTGCGTTTTCTATGAAAAATTATAAAATAATTGTCCCCAAATGATTCCGGGAAAATGAACGTGCTCTTCAGCGCGCGATTGTTTTCGTAACAAACAAATCGAAACAATTATTAATTTTCTCCCGAGTGAAATGTGCGGAACTCGGGGTCCCACAAGGGTTGCACGTAAAATACGATATTGTTCTGTGGTACATGTGAAAATGATAATGAATATATATGTAGTATGTCGAGTGCGCACATTTCTGATTAAACTGCGTTCTCGGATTTATTGCACCGTACATTTGCGATTCACACTAGTGGATATTGTAATTTCGAATCGGAGCCGTGAAGTGACGATCTGATGATACAACAATATATGTATCTAGATTTCGGATGAAATAGAAAATTGTTCATCGAATAATAACTTACTGGACGAACAAGTATCTATCGCGTTAATATATTTCCAATTTGCGACGTATTTCATTTTTCTTCGATACAATTGCTTACTTAGGAATATTATAACGTGCTTTCGTTGCGTTTCTTTGTTGTAGTACAAGTGACGATTTTAAAGAGACTTTTGTTTCATTTCAACAATTGTTTTAGAGACTTTTCTAATTTCAAACCAGCCCATTGAGTTTAAAATTGTTATTGTAACATTCTTCAAATCGTAGAAAATGAAGATAAAACATTTGATTAAAAACTATTTGAACCGCTCCAGAGAAAAATATATTGATTATTACTTCCATTCTGTCAGTGCTGACTAAAATGAAAAAATAAAAGAAATACGTACTTTTCATATGGCTTGTATAATTTTATGATTACATTCAAATCACAATTCTACATTATATTCAAATCAACCATTTGATCATGGCGGGTCATATTTATCATAAATATTATAATTAAAAAATGTAGTTCTCGCCAACCAACTGTATAAAACAAACGGAATATATGCATAATAAATAACATAATAAAACAAAATTTATTCCACAAAAATTGCATTAGAGGAATAATTTTTTTCACTGATTAGAAGACACGCTGTAGCAACATTTAACTAAAAATGCTATTATCTCTGATAATTTGAATACTTTTTTGCATTTCACAAATGTACACGTGCCATAAATGCACAAAGATCCATAGTCTATTAATTACATTTCTAAACTTTTCGTATTTCACAGATTATAATCTGTGTATAAAAAAAATCTGTACATATCTATAAAATCTGTGTATAAAAACTGTGGTTTTTTACGCAGAATACAAATTCATCCTCATCAATTGGAAAAAACACAAGGGCTATATAAATAACTATTTACTTTCCTAATCATTTCGATAAGTTGAATGTAGCACAGTAGCATTTTTAAATTCTTTAAATGCTTTTAACATTTCGTCTTCAATCTAGTAATCAAATACAGTCAATCTACGAATACAAAAATTAATTTTTAACACATTCTACGCCAGCTTAATCTCGGCGTATTCTCTGATAAAATATAAAAAGAAATATTATCATAAAAATGGAATAAAGTACAATACCGTGGTTGATACACGTATTTGATGCTGTTAGAAATCACGTTGAGTCCAAACGTGTAGAAACATCGATACGCAAAAAATCGTGACAAATCGATAATGCCAGCTAATGCACTCGTTTACAGAAGAGAATAAATACATTCTTCTATCAGGCGCCGTCGAAAACATTCCTCGGAGCCAACCAACACAGATTGATCAATTACTATCGAATTCCGGAAAGGTGAATTCCGTGGGCCCGGGAATAGCCGAATTTTCCTCTGTGAAAGGTCCGGTGCAGTCGTACCGTGCCATCTAATAACACGGGAACTACGAGTACCAGCTGTCCATTGATATTCGCGAAGCAACGACCGGTTTTAAATCCGACCGCGTTCATTCGACGGCGACGCAAAACCGGCACGATGCGGCGCGATGCGGCGCGGCTAACAGGCCGCAGTTTGACAACGGCCGCTTGTCAGCGTAATCGAATTTTCCTGGACAGTTTTCGCGGGAACATCGATGTAAAGCAGAATTTATTTCGCCGCGGGGCACACCGCCGTGACGATCGTCGGAATTATAGAATCGTGGGGCCATCCCAAAGGTATCCTCGTTGGAATAAACATGCGCTGCGGGCGCAGCAAGAATTGAAATGCGAATCCCGGCGAGACGATCTGTAAATCTTAATACGTACCACTCGCAGCCGGAATGAACGATGATCGTAGAAAATCAACGGCCTGGAGGAATGAGAACTCAGCGTGAAACTTCGTGCGCTGTCGATCTCTTTTTCGACACTGTTTTCGAATTTCTCAGGCAGAGGAAAATAACTTCGACTGTTCTAACGTTGAAACGCTGATACAGGGAGGTTTGCGGTGGTAGATCGGTGTAAAGAAGACTCTCTTTTATGTGGTATATTGAAACGAGTGGAGACAAAATTCTCGGAACTCCGTATTTGAGAATGTACAGTCGCCTTGAAAAGTACGTTAACGCCTTTTCAATCGGAACAACTTTCTTAAAATTGGTTCAAAGGACTTGAATATTTTTGAGATGTTAGACTGACTAGTTTTCTATGAAATGAGTACATAAAAAGTTTTTTAGATTGCAACACATTGGAATGATAAAAAAATTAAGAAACTATGTTTCTTCAACTTTCTTATGTAAGCCCATAACGAAAATTTAAAAAATGCATTTTGTTGATCTCGGTAACTTATATGCATACTGAAAATTTTATCGAAATCGGTCGATGCAGAGTCAAGCTACAGCCACTGAAAGATGTAAAAATTACCTGTTTGTGCTTGAAATTCGTGAAAAACTGTGACTTTCACGATCTTTAATTGCTTCAATTGTCAGCATACATATAAGTTACCGAGATCTACAAAATGCATTTTTCAAAATTTTCATTATAGGCTTAGATCAAAACATTGAAAAAACATAATTTTTTAATTTTTTCATCATTTCTATCAGTTGCAATCTAAAAAACTTTTTGTATACACATTCTATAGAAAACTATAGTCGGTCTAATATCTACAAAAAAAATTCAAATCCTTTGAACCAATTTTAAAAAAAGTTATTCCGATTGAAAAGGCGTTCACGTACTTTCCGAGACGACTGTATATGGCAGAGACTAAAAATAACAGCTATTTGAAAAATATTGGTACAAAGAATCAGTATGAAAAATGTGTTTATATCTCATAAATAAACAAAACCAGCCCAAATGCGAACAATGCGGAATAACATTAAGCATCGAACACATTTTTCTGGACTGACCCAAGTGGCTATAAAAAAGGATCCTTGATAACAAAATAAACTTAAACTGCAATTTAAATAGCTGCAAGGAGATTGCAAATGTTCTAGAGTTTTTTAAAGTCATAGGCTACCTCAATAAATTATAAGTTAATTATAGATGATAACAATATGTATATTAGAGTTATGTTTTATTTATTATATGTAAAAAAAATTGTAAGAATTAATGTATATCTGATAATGATAGAAGCGGTCATGGTCTTAATGCGACCGCTAAAATAAATAAAACCAACATTAATAATAAAAACGTGTTTTTTGTTCAAGTTGAAGGTTTTAATCGCGAAATGTAAAAGAAATTGTTTAAAAGAGTGTACAATTAAAAGATTTCAATATTTGATTATAAATAACAATTGCAATGGATCGAATATATTCTTTCGTTGTTCTTAATTATTGATGGAGATTCTATTTCGGTCACTTATGATAATTTTTAATAACGAGAATTTACATAATAATTATCGATTAGGGAAATTCCATTTTGATCACTCATAATAGTTATCAGTAATAGAAAAATGATTTCGGTCACGAATAACAGTTATAGGAGGGAAAAAATTTATTTAAATTGTTCATAAAAATTGACTGGTATAATATATAATTTTAACATTAAAATATGAACGACACTTATCTTCATCAGTCTGTATGCATTTGTTACATTCATGTTCACAATAAATGCACAAATCTGAACGCTACTACAAATCCAGTGATTTTGATCAAATATACGAACTGCGAAATTCATTGTCCAAAAATAAATTCCATTTCCTTTCATTTGTTATATAAAAATTTTAGAACCATTCACCCTTTGCGGACGAGCTGACTTTTTAGAGCGCTAAAAAGATTTTTCTCAGAGTAGTAGATCGTGTACCAAAGACATGTACCAAAGAGATCTCACACGGATCACGTGAGAAATCAAGACAAGCGAACTGACGATAAAAATGAGAAATCAGGATCGCGCGAGTAACAAGTCGTAAACGTCGTGATAAACGAGTGAAACGCTGTTCGTAGTCGCAGCATCGAATCAATCATCCTGATTTCAGCCTGTCCAGACTCTAGACCTGAGTGGATGGAACTCGGCGGTGGCGGGGGTGCGGTCTGTTATGCGCCCTCGCGGCTAGGTAAACTTGTGCTGCGTATCACTGGATTTCCAAGGGTCACTCGGCAATGTCATCAAACTCAGCAACAAGAGGACAGTCAGCATCGTGAAACCAGACACTTATACCTTGGCTTTCACCACCCATGGGACCGAGATCTGTGGAAAAGTTGGATTAAACAGGTAAGTCGGAACAAATCCAGATACAATAGAAACTTCGTTTTCAGCTTGGAATACACGCAACCCTCTTTCTTTCTTTCTTCCTTGTTCTGCGAGAAAAAAAAAGAGAGAAATTAGATTTATCGCGCTGCTACGAGGACAAATGTAATTTTCTGGAAAGTTCTAAGTGGACGGATGTCCTCCTACTGGAAATTTCATCCCTTGGACTGTTCCATTTTGATTTTTACAGCATTACGAGTGTAGGACATGTAATTGCTTTGTAGTGCGTTCGCTTTCAAATAATTGTCAGATTGAAATTTTTAATATATCGTACATTACGAAATTGTTTATTGTGTAAATTAGACCATAATAGAAGATTTTTTATGTATGATATGTAACATTGAAATACAATATTCTTTTAAGAAGAGATTTTCTGTTGGAAGTGGGGTTCATTTTATTAAAATATAGCGTCTCAAAAATGTGCAATGAAAAGTTTCTCCATGTATTCAAATAAATGGGAAAGTTAGAATGATTTCAACGAATACAGTACTCATGCTATAACTATAATATCAGAAAGAACTCTAGAAGAGGAAAATGTGTCACTGTCACTTCGAGAACTAATATAGTGGTGTTTATTAAGAAGAATCTCAATTTTATTTAATTAGTAAACTGCGAATGTTTATGCAAAATAAAAATTTTGAAACGCAGAAGTCGTATTCAAGCTATATTTCTTTCAAATATACTGCGGATATCTATGTAAAATAAAAATTGTCTACCTAAATTGCAACAAACTAAACTAAACAAAAATATTGTTTTCTTTTTTAACAGGTCTAACAGGTTAAAAATAATCGAACAGCATTGCTAAAATCTTTTAATATGTCCACTGTTTTATGTTTCATATACACATTTTTGTCAGTAATTAGTTGCAGACATATTATTAGCTTCAATAAATTCTAATATAAAATTTATAATTCGATGAATTCTCAATTTCATTGGAATGCGATAAGAAACAGATATACGTCAGTTGTCTACTTTTTGGAAATGCATATAAATTATTCAACTGAAAAGCTTCGTTAATATCGATAAATCGGAGAGAAATTTAGCGGAAGCAATTAGCTCCATTAAGCAGGGGTACTTATTAATTCTGCTTTAGACGCGAATTGTGCTGTTTGGCCAAAATACGAAGGGTTTAATCGCTGAACGCATTTAGCCAGATGAAGAGGGAGGATTAAACGAGTTGCCAATTTCAATTAAGTACGCGATAACAAAGAAACCGCTGGCCCGCCTTTCTCCGAAGAAAATCTATTCACCCACGGTCAATTTAATTTTCAATCTAATTTTTAACGCTCGCTTCCCCCGAGGAATACCGAACTCCCCTTGCCGCCTCGGAAACTAAAATTGGTCGTTGTGCAAGTAGTTTAGAAAAATCTTCAAAGTAAGAGGGGACAAACTCGTATTTACTGACTCGAAACAATTTCAAAGCTGGTGCGACGATGAACACACATTCAACACTTATTATTAGACTGCGGATTTTATGCATTTATGGCAAATCTGAACAAGTAAAATACAAAATTATTGTTCTATTAATATTCTACATATTATTATACATATTATTGTATATTTTATTGCACATATTATTACGAAATACAAAATTACTATTACATTATCAAAATATATATTATTGTTATATTATCACTGTATATATTACTGGCCATATTACTATCTACACAAAACCATTGTTACATTGATGTAACTTTCACAAATGATTAAAGAAAGAAACATATTTCTATATAAGATTCGCTCCTTATAATTGACTTCGATCATTTTTATTTTGCATAAAGATCCGCAGTCTACTTATTATTTTTCAAATGTTTTGAATATTTAATTTCAATGCGTTTTGATCATTTTTATATTGTAAAAATGAATTTTGTTATGCTAGAAAAATGTTGGAGGTTAAAACAGAATATAATTATATAAAATGCAAGCCGAAGCAGAACTTCATGGTTGTGCAATTAAAATGCAGTTGGTGCATATTATGGAAATTGGCGAGGCACAGCACGAGGTATATTTTAACGAAAATTTAGTCAAACTTTTACTTTATTTTTACATTTATGTAGTTGTTAATGGAAAGAGCGAGGCGAGTATTTTGCGTCCAACATTGTGAAACTCGATAAATATGAACATACATATTATACATAATTCGTAATGTATCGATAAAGCTGTACATATTCCGATAAAATAATATTGGAATAATTAATAAAAAATTAACCCAGAGGCGATACTTTCAATAATGTATGAAACTATTTTCGCAACAATCGAAAGGTGAAAACACGTGATGCTTTTCATTTCGTATTAATTTTGTCCAAAGAATGACATTTATCGGAAACAATTTAGGAATATATATTGAAAGTATGATGGAAAGTATTTCAAATGTAAACAAAACATACTGAAAAATAAGTTGTCCATGAAAACAACAAAAATGTTCAGAAAAATTAAGTATAAAATTTATTATTCAGTAGATTAAATA